TTGATGAATGAAAAGGATTGGTGATGAATGAAATGGATTGGTGGTGAATGTGATAGTTAATTAATGAATTTGCTGAGAAAGATGAATGAGTCAGTTGATGAATGAAATGGGTTGCTGATGAATGGGAGGGATGAGTCAGATGACGTCATTTCCCCATAGGTTGATGAGTGAGAAAGCGAAAATGACTGGCAAATGATAGACAGATTCATATAGATTATAGATATACAGTAAATTGAATTGCAGGCTAATAAAGATTATAGATACATAACCCATAGTCGCCATGGATAATTACATATCGATATTTCTATCTTTCTCTACTTACGTATTCTCTATTTACCTATCTCCCCGGTATTATGATTCAGTATAGCTTTCTATGCATGTAAATATTTGTATATCTACTTGTCAACCAACCACTAACTTGTCTCACCTTTTACGGATTAAATCCATATACGCATTAGATTTATCCAGACATCTTATAAATATTCATATATACAGACATGTCTATACACAGAAATTAAACCATATCTGTCTATGTACCTGATCGATAAATATTTAATAGTCTATTTGCTCATTTGATATGTATGTCTAGACCAATAAATATGCATTTTATTTTTTCATTCATGCATATCAATTATACTCTCTATACTGAGTACTTTCTACCAGTCACTCTGATCTTTATTATATGCTAATTTTGTATTTTCATTCGATAATTTGATTCCTTAATATGCATTTCTTGAAACCACTTCCAAAAAAGATAATTATTTGGCTTATTTAGAAATATATATAAATCATATTAACCGTGATTATAATTGATTGCAATTGAGAATATGTGATGGAATTTAAAAAGTAGCTTGGTAACGAAAGAAAATTGATGAAAGGAGAGAATCTAGTAATGTAAAAGAAGAAACAAATATCGATAATTGATACGAGAAGAACACATAAATCAAAGTATTAACAATAAAAACAAAAATAAGTAGCGCAAGGTTGTATAATAGAAGCTGGAAAACAAAAACAAAAGAAGTAAATAACATCGACAGAACAAGAAAATGGAAATCCCAACACTTAAGCAAACCACACATAACACAACAATAAAGAAAAACAACAAAAAAAACAAAAACAAAACTGAAATGGACACACCTCGGCCCGAAGCGCAGCGCAAAACACACTTCCTTTCACAACTCGCCAACCTCGTCTTCAATGCGTACTAACTGGTCCACTTCACAACATGTCCAGCATATAATCACCCTCCCCATCCCCCCACACCCCCGTCCCCTCCCCATACACCCCNACATGGCCTCGAATCCCTGGTCGTGTTTCCTGTGTCGACGCCTCGGCTCGGTTTGTGAAGCACGTGCAAAACACCAGCAATTAAGGTGCTGTCACACTAGCATTTTTTCCGGCATTTTTTTTTTTTTTTCTGAAATTTTGTCCATTTTTGAGCGAATTGTCGATTTTCCAGTCAGACGATAATGATCGTTTCCGTCAACTTTTTTCAGCCAAGCATAGTCAAATCAAGAGCTATGTTCGAGAATGTTTGTATTTATGTTTAATAAAATTGTCAAAAAAATTGACGGAAAAAGTGATAGTGTGACAGCACCTTTATTCTTAGAGTTTCGTGTTTGTTGTGCATCGTGCATTCTGCCGACCAAAGCAAGGACGTTATTAGCGTGGAGGGGGGGGGGGGTACTTGACGCTGGCAGATATTCAAATTCATTCTTGTGTAAAAAAAAACGCGATTTTTCTCTAGCTCAGCAGGTTACCCTCTCATAAAAAAAAAATCTAACAATAGCGCAGACACTCATATAAGTAGAGAGAAGTAGGGGAAATTATTCATATAATATCCCCATAAACAGAAAATGGTAGGGACACAACCTAGGGATCCTTGCTATAAGCTCTCTCACAGTCAACTTATGGGTTTATTTATGGGAAAGGCTAGATCAGTAGCAACTCGAGGTGTCATGGCGTCTGATTCTATTTTTGGAAAAAAAAAACAAGGGGATTAATTTGATGACGTCACCAAAGTTACGGATGCTTTGTGAATATTGTCGATCCTTTTGGTCTTCATTTTTCCAAAATAATATATATATATATTTTAATGGTTACATTTTTATTGAATGATAAAAAAAACAGACGCCATGACACCTCCTCGAGTTGCTGCTGATCTGGCCTTTCCCAGAAATAAGCACATAAGCTGACAGTGTGAGAGCTTATAGCAAGGATCCCTAGGTTGCGTCCCTACCATTTTCTGTTTGTGGGGATATTATACGAATAATTTCCCCTACTTCTCTCTACTTATATGAGTGTCTGCGCCATTGTTAGATCAAAGGTAGGCCTATACAATTTTTTTTTTTTTTTTTTTTTTTTTACTGTAACCACAACCACAACACACTCCATGCGAAAGAAGCTATTCAGTCAACACTAAAATCTCTCCTGCTTGCCCTGTTCCCACTCGGCCTACAGCAACACGGCCATGCACATTTATATTCGAACTCTGACGCACGTATACGCTGTGTGACTGTATAAACACATACACGAAGGCGCCAATGAATAGGACCGCTCACATATGATGGGTAATCAAGCACGCAAACGTAAATCCACGCACGTACACGAGCTTTTATGGACACAGACACGCACGCACACACGTACACACACGCACGCTCTCTCAAAAGCAGAAAGAGTAAGGGAGGGAGGGAGGGAGGGAGAGAGAGAGAGAGAGAGAGAGAGAGAGAGAGAGAGAGAGAAGAGAGAGAGAGAGAGAGAGAGAGAGAGAGGAGAGAGAGAGAGAGAGAGGGGGGGGGGGGGAGGTAGAGAGAGAAGGAAAAAGAAAGAGAAAGCGAGAGAGAAATTATATCAGATATCATTATCCAAAGTACCATTAGTGTTAATGAATACGGACATATAATAAACAGATAATGATGACACTGATAATGGTTGATATGAAATTTACGATAGGCCTAGTAGAGATACGCTGATAATGCTGAAGTGAGGGTAATAACGAGTGATAATGATGAGGGTACTAATGATTTTGATCATAAAGACGATGGTAACAACAAAAATGATGATGATGATGATGATGATGATGATGTGATAATGATAATAATAATGAATAATAGTAATAATGATAATGATAATTATGATGATGATAATGATAATAATAATAATGATAATAATAGTAATAATAATAATAATAATAATAATAATAATAATAATAATAATAATAATAATAATAATAATATAATAATAATAATAATAATAATAATAATAATAATAATAATAATAATAATAATAATAATAATAATAATAATAATAATAATAAAAATGATAATGATAATAATAATAATGATGATAATAATAATGACTATAATAATGATAATAATAATTATTATCAGTATTATTGTTGGTATTACTACCATTATTATGATGTTAATCATAATGATAATCATATCGATAATAATTTCTGATGTTAATGCTACCTCGACTGCGACCAAATGATAACGACAGTAATGATACTGACAATTACAGTGATGATAATAATAAAACAATTTTGTTGGAATTACGTAATAGAAATGATATGATAATGGCCTTGCTAACAATCAAACTTCAGTAAGATTACTCTAACGGTAATGATATTAGGAACAATATATTGAAAATACCGTGCGTCCGTTTCCCCTCTTTGTTTACATCGAATCAGCTGATGGTGACATCAACGCCGACCTAGTAATGAGCCGGACACGTTTTCTTTGTTATTTTCTTGAGGTAAATGGCTTTTAGGTCTATTTTTGGTTGTCTTCTGAGAATAGTTTGCGTTTTTTAGACAACGTCTGGGCCCTTTCGAGTTTTTTTTTATGTTTCGTGCAAAATTAACCGTGGAGATAGACTAGAAAGTGATTGTGTTAACTTTCTACCAACACGATTAAAATTATTCTTGATTTTAGAGTTTACTTATGCATTTCTCGTGATATTTTATTGTCGTATGTGAAGCGATTTGATGGCTCTTCATATATCTATTTGCGAACTTCCTATCACATCAGTTTCCCGAAATGACACGGGATTTTTATTGAATTTAGATGTTGAATTGCTCGATTTCCTATTCAGGAACGAAAACAATTGAAGAAGTGATTAAATACGGAATAAGAAAAGCTGATTATGTAGTGTTATCTTTTCACCAAAGACAAGAAGAATGTGACCAGAGGAAGTGATCGAAATTTGGATTATATTTCGATTAACAGTTGCATTTTGCTTGACATGATAAGAATTATGTCATAAGAATTGAAGCCTAAAATATATTTGTTTTATTTCTTACCGATGTATTTAATGAAAACATGATATATTTACAGGCATTTAACATGGTCAAAAGAATGACATCTTTTTTTTCAAGTTAAAAACTGGTTCTAAGAATCTAGACTTGTGTTTTGTGGATGTGTAGACGTGTATTGATGAGGAAGGAACTTCATATGTATATATTGCTCAGATTACCTTTTCGTAAAAGTGTGAAGTACTTTTTTCCTGTGATGAAAATATAACCAGCTCAGTGTCATGGTGCATCCAGAAATTATTATTAAAGAAGTCTTGTGGGTTTATCCAATACTGACTTCTGTAGGGTAATTTTTTAGTTTCCCACAACCATCCAATCTTGCAATTTTTATTTCTTCTTTCAATTATTAACACTGATGTCAGTGAATTTGTTGCTATTTTCCATTGCAAATGATGTAACTGAAAGTATTGGTAATGTTTACAAAGAGACCTTCCCTGCCATTCCATTGAAGTCCACAAACATTGCTGTATAATCCAAACCCAGGGGCTTTGCCCTATGGTATACTTTTTCATGTATGATTTAAGCTCTTCAAACTGATATCATAAGTAATCTGTGATTTGTTTTAGTATGTCTAGAGCTATGCATTTCCTTCTTTGGCTTGCACTCAAAAGGAATCAGGTAACTTTGATTATGAATTTTTCACTGTATTTCTGATTATTAAGTAATTTAAATTTTTATGTTCCAGATGTTGATGTCTTAAGAAGAGATACCAGTCACCTCTGAATCGAAAACATGAAGACAAACGCTGCAGAATACTTCAGCAGCCTTTCGCCTCTCAAAGGTTAGTGGAAAGAGGCAGAAAAGGGTTGGTTTCTTGTCAATTCACAGGACTATATGTAAATATCTATAGATACCCACGCTCATACACTAACACTCACTTCCACTCAAATGAACATTCATATTCATACAGATACTAGCACACACATTTATACTTCTACACTCTCACATTCATACCTACACTTATATGGCAAACGGTAATTTACACCCATACACTCACAAATTGCAATCTAAAGGTCTTCATTCTTGCTCTAATGTCTTTCTTGACCCCACAGCTGCTCACAACACATCAGGGAGCAGTGTGTATGAGAGCCATGTGCAAAATGGCCGTTCAGGGCGGTGCCATTGCTGCCCTTATGGATACCATATCGACCTGGACTTTGTGCGATACTGCGACATGCTCACACAGGTGGGAATACATCCTCGTGTTTTGCTTGAGTATGTTTGATTATAGTATTTATTCATGTGGTTACTCAAGAGGATATAGATTTCCAATTTCTGCAATAGGTTTAGAGGAACTGCTAACACTTGTCTTTTTCAGAGGACCACATCTTTATATATTCTTCCACATATAGTCTGTGTACACACATGTCTTATATTTACTGTGACTATAATTACTCTCACTTACACTTTTGCATGTCCTCCCGTTAGGGCTCGAAGAATGACAGCCCAACCCTTCGGCACCTCAAGAAACTCAAGCGGGCCAGGCGTCGACAAACAAAGTCCATGGAGGTCCTCCTCGGCCTGTCTCCAGGGAAGGAAAATGAAGCACCACCCAATCAGCTCTCGCAGACTAGACTGGAGATCGTGAGTTTTAACATTTGGTTTGCCATTTTTTATTAGTTTACGGATGAAAGAAATTTAGAAATAACTCAATGTAGACCTTCCTTTGTTTTTGATTATTGTGGCTTAAAGGTTCATAGGGTAATGAATATCTAGAAAATGCAGTGGCATTGTCTGAATGAGAGAAGGTGGAAACATTATAAAAGGGATGTTATTATTATTATTATTGATAACAGTTACATAGTACATTGATAATTGATAATCATAAACTAAATCAAGTATATATGATGGAGAATTAGATATCAAAATATATACGTAATAAGAACATTAATAATAAGAATTTTGCATGTATTTAATAATATTGAGAGATATGATTTGTACAACAGCAGTTTTTTTTTTTATGTGGTTTAGATAAATTGATGTGCCCATTATTTTCTTAAAGGTCATACTTATGTGTGCATACTCGTAATTATTTTACTGAGTGCTTAGTTTCATACAACAGTCTTCATAAGACTTACAAGCCAAAATGAATATTAACTATTCACTCTAAATATGAGAAACTGGAAATAGATCAAACTTTTATGAACTTTATGAAGAAAACACATCCGTAGACACTAAGAATGCACCCTTTCCCCCTTGCAGATTGAGGAACCGAGAAAGATCGAGACCCTGAAGCATGAAACGTCCTCTATTGCACGAAGGTCCCAGTCGCTGCGGGAACGAACACCCCCTCCCCCTCCACCCAGGCGATGCAGGACCCCACTGATGTCTCCCCCACCAGATGTCATCAACACCACGTCCCACTCCAGCTCTGGCCTCAACTCCAGCTCCAACTTGGATGCGAGCGAGGCCCTGCAGGTAGAGACCAGTGATAGTGGAGTTTATGGTGGCAAAAGGGGGGGCTGCTGAGGGATTATGTTTTGACTTGTCTTATTTTTTATTTATCCTTTCGGTGCTTTTGCACGCTGGCATATATATATATGTGTGTGTGTGCACATCCGTATGAAGCCTGTAGGTGTTTCTTTTTTTTTTTTTACTCTTTTTTTTAGAAATATTTTGTCTTTCTTTGAATATGGTGTGATTAGTTTATAGTCATTATTTCTGTGGCAGTTACATGGAGTAATCTGTAATTTTTAGAAGATGAATATCATAATTAATTAACACCATCAAATGTTACTGAAAGTCAAACTGTAGATAGCCATAGATCATATATTTATAAATAAGTAAATGAATAAATTAGTAAATAAATATGGTAACAGCTATTAGTTTTTAGTCATTAAATGGATTGCTACATATACATGTATATGTAGAACTGAAAAGATATAAATTGAGAAATTTATCATTTTTTGTGTCTAATTGTAGATGTCTATAGATAGATAAATACACAGGTAGTTAGATGAACGAAGAGGTAGATAAGTCTTTGATGAATTTAGAGAATAATGACGTGATAGGTAAATAGAATAGATTATAAGTAAATGAATGTATAGAGTAGTGGAAAAGTAATATTTAAATAACCAAATCTATAACACTATTAACTATTCATTGCAACCCCCTCTCCCTCTACCTATCCTACCCCAAACAGGAAGCAGTTCTCGATTTTGAAGAGATGCTCGAGAACTCCCGTGAGAGACGTAACCACCAGAGGGACCGTGCGGATACCCTGCCTGCCCCCAATGTGCCCTCCCTTGACCTTCTCCACCACACACCTCCACCTCAGCAAAATCACCACCACTCCCTAAGCCCCAAGCCAGGGGGCGTTGGAGTGACACGCTCGCATTCTCTCCCCAGGCAATGTAAGTTGTGAATGTAGCTCCCCATCTTCTTCTGCCTCTTTGTCCTCCGATTCTGATAAGAATGATGATTATCACAGTGAGTATGAGGAAGAGGTTGAGGTTTGTTTTATTAGGGTCCTTTAGGGTCCTTTAGGGCTTCTGAAAATGTTTAGAAGGTCCCTCCCTCCCTCCCTCCCTCCCTCCCTCCCTCCCTCCTCCCTCCCTCCTCCCTCCTCCCTCCCTCCCTCCCTCCCTCCTCCTCCTCCCTCCCTCCCTCCCTCCCTCCCCTCCCTCCCTCCCTCCCTCCCTAACTAAGGCCCGGCATATGAACAGCCCCTATGTTTTTTTGTGTTTTTTTTCTTGCTTGCTTCTTGCTCCTTTTAGATGCTTGTGTTACCTATAATATCTTTGATTTTCATATATCCATCTCTTAATTTTTTTTTTGCCAAAGCTCTCGTAGTTTAGATCCTTTTTTGTGCTGCTAAATTTCCCCCCCCATGTTTTGTGTTTATTTTCTGTTTGTTTTCATTCTTACTGTATGTGTGACTTTCACACGGCTTCACACACTTTATACTCCTTACACTCTGTTGTTTGTGTTCTCTGGTGCTTTATAACCAATTCCATTTCCTGTCGAAGAACAAAATTATAGAGTGAAATAAGTAGCTTAATGAATTTTATTATTATTTTGTATTTTTATTGTTTATTATTTTTATTTTATTCTTTTATTTATTTTTTTCTTTTTTTTGTATATATTATTTCTGCTATTACTATTATTATAGTTGTTGGTATTATTACTATTGTTGTTATTATCATTGTCATTATCATTGTCATTATCATTGTCATCATCATTGTCATCATCATTGTCATCATCATTGTCATCATCATTGTCATTATCATTGTCATCATCATCTTCAATCATCTTCATCATCATCATCATCATCATCAATCATCATCATCATCATCTTTGTCTATCGTTATCATCATTATCATTACCATTATCATTATCATTATCATTGTCATTGTCATTGTCATAAGAATTATGATCATGATTATAGTTATAGTTAAAATTTTAATTATACTTTATTGTCATTGTAATAATTATTGTTATCAGTACTACCATTACTAATTTTCTTTTTGATTTATGAATAGATTTTTTCAGTTATTTAGGGATAATTTGGTAACGTTCATTTTTATATGAACAGCATGCAAATTTTTCAAGGAAATGGAATTTGGTCTAAGACGAAGATATTGTGCTCTGTGTAATGTAGTCGTAGATGTATTGACATTAATGATTTGCTCTCATAGTTCCCTCTCTTTTTTTTCCCATTCCTTTTATCCTCGGTTAACCCCTTTTATGCTCACATTTTGGTTTGGGATAAAAAAAAAAAATGGCTTTCACATCTGGTTTTGCTGGTTGTTCGATTGCAATGTTGATTAATCATGATTCTTGTAATGATGTGCTTGTGCCACTTTGTCGTTTTGCTTTCTGTTTTGGATTTGGGGTCTATTTTGTTTTTTGCTTTTTCCTCCCCTTTTTTCTCTTTTGTTTCTCCTGCGTCCTTTCCCTTTCTCTTTCCGTTCCTTTTCCTCCATCCTGCTCTGTCTTCCCGTCTGTCTGCATGTTGTATCCATATCCTCCTCTCGAAACCTTCCCCTTTGGATCCGCCCGCCACCTTCTCACTGCCACCTTTAACAACAGGGTTTAACAGACCTCTCCTCTCCCCACCTACATCCTCTCAGCCCTCTCCTACATATCCCTCCATACACACCCCTGACGAGACCACTCCAGGGCTCGCAGAGGGACGAACACAGATGGCGGTGCTGAAGGCCTTGCGCCGCAGCTGGGCCAGGTACACCATAGGGGGCCGCATTCCCCGGCGCTTCTCAGATGGTGCAAGTGAGTCATGGAAAAGGAGGTTTTTAGTGAGTCTGTTTATTTTCTTTTTATGGTTTATGGGTATATTTATATGTCTTTTTTTGTACAGTCTGAGACATATTGTTGTTGTGGGTATATAACTATCATTATTTTTTTTATACCAAAACCTTTTCACCTTTCCAGGCCTTTTTTTGTGTGAAATCTTTATGGCAGATTGTATGTTAGTAAAATGCTGCATGTCTTTTGTTGTTGAAAAAGTGTTATGCAGCAGTTCTTTCTGTTAGCGTTTGTAAGTTACTGAAGCTTGGGAGTCATATATGATTATTATTTTTTAGAGAGATTAATAATTTTTAGAGATAAATCTAGCTGGGATATTAGCACTCTTTAAAGTTAAAAGTTGCGAAGATTCAAGCTAGAAGCAAGGGTAATCAGTGGCATCATTTATTTTTTTCTTTCTTTCCTTTTTTTGTTTTTTGTCAGACCATTGTTTACATTGTGAAACTGATAAGAAAAACTAGTTGCTTGGCTGATAATGAAAGATCCATCTGTTGCAATACACACGCACAGAAAGTTCAGTTCTCTGACGCAGGCCTTACTCACAGGTAAAGGTGGTGAGATGGAAGGCATGATAAAGGTAGGGTTTGTAAACCTGCTTTGAAGTTGCCTCTGAGAAACTCCTGTTTATTAAGATAGAGCTTTTTGGGTTTAATAAATTTATCTGGTAATGAGGAAATAAGATGTATAGATTAAGTTAATGACAAATTAGTGTTAAATTTCAGTGTGTACTTAGCAATGCCAATGAAAAAATTCACCTTGTAAAAATATACAATTAAGCAATGTCATACTTATTAAAAAGGAGTGCTGTATCTATTAATGTTATGTGAAATCTATGATCATTATTTTACTGTGGAATACACATATTGAAGCATATTCCAAAACTTTTGATAAAGCGAAAAATAAAACATTTCACACACATAAAGGACATACCTTGATACATTTTAAAGTTAGAATTTTTAGAACTATATAATCAATGTCCAATTGTGATTTAATCCCTATATTTTTGATAGCCATTAAACAAGGTTCAGATTTAAAGGCAATTAGTGTAATTCCATGTTAAAGATGGGAAGACTGTTCTGTAAAAGATCAGTAACAAACAAAGAATAAAAAAGGTAAAGAACAAGAAAAGGAGTTGCTAGCAATTTGGGATTACCAGCTAAGAACCATTTAACCTTCCAGTGCTTGAGGACTCGCCGCTGCTGAGCCGCCACCAGCACACCAACTCCACTTCCTCCCTCTCCTCTGCCTGCTCTACCCCAGGCTATCAGGGTGGGGCCCCTCAGTCATCCACCCTGCCATCAGGTGGAGGCTATGGGGTCTCGCCAAGCACCCCACTCAACAATGGACTCTCACCTGGATTCGGACTGCCACCAAGCAATGTAGGAATAATTCAGCAAGTAAGGCTTGAGTAGTCTGTGTGGGCAGGAGAGAGATTGCATTTTTTTGTGATGTAGATGCTAACGCTCAGATTTGCTCTCTCTAGCTTTCTTTGAGTTGCCGACGCATTTAAGGGACAGTGCAAGGCAGTAGAGTCAGAGCGGCAATTTTACATGTGTGTGGATTAACCCCCCCATCAGGTAGCGCTCCCTGCAAACCACATTAATGGTAGAAGTAATGTTGAGCTCCTTAAATGAATTTGGTATTTTTTGACTAATTTGAAGATTTTAACTTTAACCTGTGATCCCCATAAATAAGGTAATGTCTTTTGTGCAATAATTAATGAGTGTAATATAGTTTGTTCTTTTTTGTGTAACTATTAATGTGTGTTTAGAATAATCTTTCCCTTGTTAATGTACTAAAACTGTAGCAAAACAGTAGGAAGTTATTGAATTGCGGAAATTTTTCAGTACACATATTTTTTTCTTTTATCAAATAATCCTAAACCTATAGTATAATACCTTTTACATCCAAGTTCACTGCTCAGCCTTGCCAATGTGTCTCCTGCCAGTTTTCACTCTTGGCATATGAAATGAATAACAGTGCGAGTCGGAGTCATGTGTTTAAATTGCCAGTTTGAACTTGTGTATATGAAACACATACAAATTTGAGTAAGAGGATGTGTTTGCAATTGGTACCTAAGTTTGAATATGAAGATGAAAATTAAGCCACTATATACGAAAGGTATTGACCCATTAGTGCCTTGTAATTGCTGTTCACTGTAGTTTAGTTTTGTGAATTTTGTTTGCGTATAGATGGCTTTCCTCATGTTTAGTTGCCAAGGAGTCTGTTAAGAGGCCTAATATCTCCATTCCTTGAGTTTATGGGCAACAGTTTTATTTTTCTAATACTCCTAATATCATTACTGTTATCATTATTATTGGCATTGGGATTATAGTAATCTTATTATCATTATCAATTTAGCAAAGAGAGAAAAAAAGGGAAAGGGAAAGCACGAAACCAGGTCAGAACTGACTCTTTGATGACTAAGATCTAGTGAAATCAACTATGTGTAAGGAGAATTGAGAAACTGAAATCACAGTGGATGTGGCCTTTATGTACGGCTATACAGAAAACTATTGTTAGAAGGGGTGCGAAACATTCAATAACGAACAGAACCTTATGGTATGGAGGGGTTGGTATTTTGTATATTTGAATTTGTCTTGTTCTGATTCATGACTCCAGGACTCTGTTATTTATAAGGATTTACGGTGAAATGATGATTTGATTCCTATAACGGGGTGGAATATGCCTTAGGATATTCAGATAAGCCACACATACCCAAAAGTAGTTGGAAAATGGGAGATACCAAGAGTTTCGTAGCATTAACAACTATATTTCAAAAAGTATCGTCACTTGTGTCGGAATGTTCATCACGATTTTCAAACAATAATTTTTTTTCTGTAACTGTACATGCCATCCTGCATCAATGGGTTAATGTTCTGATAGAGAAATAAGTAATTTTGTGTTATTTTATTTTTAA